GATCAATGACAAAATCTGTTAATTGTAATAAGGTCTGAACGTGTTTTGTAATTATTTTTCAGTAAAATGGGCTATAAAATGATGCTCAATGTTTTGAGCTGTTAAGATATCGCCAACGATTTCCGAACACGACAATAATTTCTGACTGGGTAGGTCTAGGATATTGATCCTTTTTCTAAGTCCGAGAGCTGCAACCTGTTTTAACTTTAGGAATTTTTATACTTTTGTATTAGTTTTATTAGCTTTTATATTTTACTAAGCCCCAGAATCTTGAATATTTTGTTAAATCCAAAATCTTTAATTATTATTTTTTCTGGGATCATGCAGTTGTCTCTAAGCCCGGGATCTGACATTCAAGTCTAATTTGGGGACTTTAAAATTTTGTCTTAGTCCATGATATCTGAGATCTTGGAAAATAAATCCTATGCAATCTTGGAACATAATTTATTAAATGTATAAAATTTGGATCATTGGATCATTTAGAGAAACTGAATCATTTCGAAAGCTTAAATCTCGAGTAACATTTGAAATGGGCCTATGTCCAAAACGTAAACAAATCGGGTTTTGATACCATTCTTTAGCACCGCTTGATAGCTACTAATCATGTAGGAAAGTTTCGCATAATCGAGAAAAATCATTAAAAATAACTCGATTTTCGAAACGGCCGTTCAACGAAATTTTTCAGTTCATTAATAGGCCCGCACGCTAAAACGGCCAACCATTCATTTATTTCATTTCATTGATAGGCCTAGTGACGTAGAAGGGCCGATGATTGAAAATTTTCAAACCAAAGCTAGGCCCTACTGCTTGAGGCAGAGCCGATGATTTGTTTTGAATTTATTTGACGTTGCGAAAAGGCTTAGCAAAGGGTGTACCATTTCTGATGGCAAGCACAACGGCTTAACAAAAAGGGCCTATCCATTGAAAGACTCACAAAAAGGCTTATTGATTTATGAAATTAAATTGTTATCGATTTTCATATATTTTTGAAAGGTTTTCACATATTTTGGATGTTGTATGCTGAGATACAGTTACTATTGTTATTGTGAACAATATAAATGCCTAAAATACTTCAATTTTTTTAAATATGAATTGAATAGTGGTGGAAAAATTTAAAATTCATTTTCTGGTTTGTTTACGTTTTAAACATAGGCCCATTTCAAATGTTACTCCAGAAATGTCTAAGAGTTGAATCAAAATGCTATGCAAAGTGAACAATTTTGAGCCATTCAACTTCAAGCAGCAAAAAATAAGTTTTTCCTATTTGTTTCCGTTTTAATACGGACTTTGTTTTATTACAACAAATCAAGAGCAAATTTTCATTATGTCGTAAGTAACATTCGCACCAATCCGAGAAAAATATAGTTTTGTTTTGATGACCGAAAAGTTATTCCTATTTCCAAGTAAACACATATAATCTCATAGTGATAGCAATGTTTAACATATTTAGCAGGGTTTTAATCATACAAATGCAAATCGCTAGCTTTCATGCTAAAAAATACTGGTTTTTGAGTCAAAAGTTATTATACGTCGTTTGGTGGCCCCTATTGTTACTTAAGTCAAAGTGTATTTACCAGGATATTCGGGAGAATTATCAATTACGTCTCCTTACGTGCAGCCCATTCATCATTTTAGGACCACCGAAATCATCTTAGCAACAAACAGTTCGATTTATTCACTTTAATAATGAGAAAGCGAAACGACGAACGTACACTTTTCACGGGTTTCTCAGCGCTGTTACTTAAGTCAAACGGCATCTCCATAGAAATTGGGTGACTTAAGTAACATCGAAAACTATTTTGATCGGAAGGTGATTACGTCAAAAAGCAATTTGGCTGGCAAATAAATTTAAAAATGGGATTTGATCCTATATTCGGACAGTATATAGTGTAATAGCAGGAGAATCGATTGACACTGATAGCTCGACTTTGTTTACCTTTGTTACATTCGACGTAATGAAAATTTGCTCTTGAAATAATCTCATTATTAGATCCACAGTAAAAATTCTCGGGAACAATAGATGATTTTAGCGGATAGTATGCGTGTTTCAAAAAACGCATTTATCAACTAAATCAAATATACCAACTTTATATGTAGTTGAAACGCATTTATTTAGTCGCGAACAAATGATTGTAAGAGGCTATATAAGTCAAAACCAACGTTCAACGTTGTGAATTTTTTGCATAAACATAGATAGAGCTGATTTCCATAATGAAAGGTCCTACAAAACAAAATGTATGCATTTTGCGGTCTGATAAATGCCTGATTAACTTCACTGCACATTGCATTTGAGCTGAGAAAATCAGTTTTCTACTCGATTAAATCGCTTTGTACTCAAATGGACAATAAACCGTAAAACTGTTTGTCCATTTCACTTTGAAATGATTTTTTTAAAAGATTTTTTAAATTGAAATGAATCCTGCAATAATCACGTTGCATGGTTTTATTTATTTGTTTCAATTATACATCTCCCGATAAGATTTCAAGTGAAGTAATGAAATTGGGTTGTTAGTGGAATGCTTTAAAAAACAGAAAAAAAAAATGTTAACATGATAATTCCACTTAATTAATTAATGTATCCATGGCAGATACCCTAAGGGGGTTAGATTTTGATAAGTCTTTAGTGGGATCGACACTGCTGAAGCCTGCACATTGTAGTCGAAATACTTATCTTTCATGGATACAATCATTAATTAAGTGGAATTAAATGGAAGATAAAGATTTCCAGTTAAAAAAAACAGTCTGAACTTTTTTGTTATTCCCTTAATAAACATGATATATTTTTTTATTCTAAGGGAAATCTTCGCTCTAATAATCATTATAAATATTGAAAGTTTTGATTTGGGTTATTAGTGGAATACTCATGCGAGCAAAAAAGGTGATTATTTTCCATTTAATTTCACTTAGTATTTTGAATCCATGACAGATACGTATTTCGACTACAACGTGCAGTAGGGTGGGTCAACTTTACAACCCTGTTCCCCACTGACCGTTCAATGCGTATTGAGGTTCCCAACAACTTTGCGAAACTTGAATAAATTTGGTTATAATCACGATTTGCGGGGAAGTTTTTAATTTTGTATGGAAAAATCCATGCGAAACGGGACGTTCCAATTAATTTGCGTACCATCAATCCAAATATTGCTCAAATTTCACCAAATCTCGGACTTAGCTTCAGAATACAAATTGTATTGTCGGTCAATTTTACGTGGAATATCTCGCGAATTGGTAATCAGGCAACCTATTCGCGATATATTCCACATAAAGTTGATTGATGTTACAAAACTGTTACAAACCTTACTGACTACCATAGCCATTACCATTAAAGGTCTCAAACCATAAGTAAAAAGGTGCTAATATAGTTTTCTTTCCGGAAATGTATGGAGAAAACAATAAATTTGAATGGTAATGGTTCTCAACAACCCATTATTTATAAGGTTCACTTCCAAAAAACCACAATACATAAGATTAAAACTTTATCACACAAACGTTCATGTAAAGTTTCATAACCATTTCAGTTAAAGTTTAGCCGGGATTATAAACAATTTTTAACCATTTTCGGTAAGGTCAAGATATGTTTCGCGTTTATGTAGGTAGTTTTCCTAATCTATTTTGGAGATTTGGTGAAATTTTTGGCCAGCAAATTAATAGGTTCGTTTCGTTTCCAATTAATTTTTCCATGTATAATTTAAAATTCTCCCGCATATCCAGGTCATAACCAAATTAGTTCAAATTTGACACCGTTGTTGGGGACCTCAATACACATCGGAACAGCAGTGTGACCCACCCTAATGTGTAGTCTTCATCAGTAAAATAAGTGTAAATTGCACGCGAAATGCGTATCTGTCGTGGATTCAAAATTAAATGGAGAAATATCACATTTTTTTTTGTTGGAAATGCCATCTTACATGAAGCTATAGTGTGATAATTTATTAGCTAGAGGAAATGCAGGTAATGTCGGCCTAAGTGTCCCTAATCTTGGCCCATACTTAAATTCAGCAATCGACAAAATTTTCAATAGCTACCAAAAATATCCATTAGTAACGTCCCAATAACGCGTTCATCTAGATAAAATTAATAAATAGCAGATTTTTAGCGATGGGCCCAATCTTAGATCTATAGGCTAACATTAGAGACATTTCCCCTTTTAGCTGTTTTTAAGTTCCAGAATCTGAACACTATAATTCCGCACTCATTAAATCCGATGAATCTTGATATTTTTCAGAGTTGATTTTAGAAATGCTATCTAACATGAAGCTTAAGTGTGATAATTTATAAGCTATAGAATAGTCTGAAGAGGGTAGGTAGATAGTTCCGCTAGAGTACGGCAGTATGAAAATTGAATAGAAGTTGAAAATGAGCGAAGGGCCATTAATGCGACAGTACTAGTCAAACGCACACTTCTTTACTTAACTCGCACGAGGTTTGACTAGTACTGTCGCATTAATGGCCCTTCGCTCATTTTCAACTTCTATTCAATTTTCATACTGCCGTACTCTAGCGGAACTATCTACCTACCATTTTCAGTCCTTTCTCCAGCTAATAAATCAGCTAAAAACTTCATGTGAGATAACTCTTCCAACCAACTCTGAAAATCGTAAACTTCACGTATGAAGTAACATAAAAACACTTTGTATGTAATATATTTTTTTGCTCTAAGGATTATGTTTTCAAGAGAATTATGTTTCTCGGAAACATTGTTGAAATTTTAATGTTAAAATTTCAATAAGGGGCTGTCCATAAACTACGTAGACAGTTTTAGGGGGGGGGGGTTGACAATTATCCACGGCCCATACAAATTTTAATTTTTTTTGTATGGACAATTGTCTACGCAGGGGGAGGGGGGGGGGGTGAAGAATCCCAAAAAACTGTCTACGTAGTTTATGAACAGGCCCTAAGGTCCTACAGACTTTGATTATATTAAACCATTGTTTTCACTCAATTTATGTGGTAAGCAGTGTGCTAAGATTAAAAAATAATTCTTAAAAACTAATACTCACTGTAGTCAATTTCAGCTCCGATGAGAATTTTTGCAAATTTTTCCGAAATGTGTTCGAGAATAATCCCGCCCGCCTTGCGTCGATCGTTCTCAAGTTCCAGTTTGCTATCTTCCAACCAAGCACAATATTCTATCTCACAATTAACAATGCTTCAACAATTTTTTCCCTCGAAATATTATTCTTTCAAGTACGATAATAATCACTCACACGTTGTTGCTAGTCACCCCGAAACACACTCTCTCTCTCTCACACACGGTATTACTACAAGAACTTCACACAATATTTTCTTCAGCAGCAATATTTTCCAAACAGCTCTCCGCGCGCCTTCTGTTGATAATCCACCTGTGGGTTGTGTGTAGTAAATATCGGAGGCTAGTAAATATTATCATCCAAGTGGTTCAATATTTACGAAATCCGGGAGAAGCCGTTCCCCCGGTTTTACAACAACTCTCGGAGATGCTTGATGCTTTGCACAGTCACAATGATCGAGGACCGTCGCTCCGTGTTCTCGGCACCAATTTTCTATGTTGTATATTTTTCTTCACGCTGATTGTGTTTCAAATCAGCCAAAACCGCTCAAGCAAAACTTTCTCGCCGTCTTCTCCTCGAGACCGGACTGTGTTTACTAAACGGAAATTGGTAGCGTACTAACGCGGCGAGGAGTTTACTTTTTCGCTTTTACTCCGGCAGAATGAATATCATCGCTCGGCGGCCGACTACGACGATGAGCGATCCTCCTCTCACACCTACTGACTATAGGTGCTGCTGGTAGTGCGCGCGCCCAGGAGGAAAGAGGAAGGATCGTGTCGTATACCATTTTGTTACATTACTCATACACTTACTGACGACGACTGGTGAAGCACGGCGGGGTTGAATTTTGTATGCTTGCTTGCTTGCTTGCTTGCTTGCAGTATGCAGTATGCTTACGAAGGAGGAAAATGTTACACAAATAGGCCGTCCGGGTGGCGGGCGATTCGAATGATATGCGCGCGCAGCGAAGGAAAAACGAGAGCATTCATTCGATGAGACCGACCAACCTACCACCCATTGCCAGTGGTCGGAATGGATTTGTGCTGCATCGTCGACTAACATGGAATGCGGTTGGTTTTTTGGCTCTCTGTTTTGGAGTTCATCGCCAATTGGAGCATGTTTTTGCCATTTTAAGGGGAAAGTTCATTCTCTGGCAATCGAACAAATTACAACCCTTTTTATTGTGCAGAACGGATTGTTCAATGTTATTCATGTGCCAATCTGTAACTCTTGATTTAGACTACCCTAAATCATATTGCTACCAGCAGGTGGTTTAACCGACAACCGGAGTCATTCGAGAGATATACCGGACGTCCACTGGGGTTCTGCCGTGGCCAGAAGTGGGTAAAGTGGTGGTTTTTGTTATCTTCCGTTGTATTGTGACACCCAACTGGGAAATGTAAGCTTCTATTACAGATTTAAAAGATAAAAAAGTGTACAGAATTTGTAATGTTTCACTGCATAAACAGATTGTGTAATGTATTCATCGGAAGGTTATGTAAATAATTTTGTAATTTTTACATATTAGCTAAATTTTTTAGCAAACTTTGTTTTCCCAAATGCACTGTGGCTAAGTAGAAAGTCATCTCGTGAACTCTTAAGTTGTTTTGAGATGATTGTAATCAAATTCTTGTAAAAATTCCCATTATACACTGGCCCACAATTATGGATCAGCTCACAACAACTATGAATCAAACAGTCTAGCCTGTTAATCAAATGGATGTGATCCATAATTATGTGGTCAGTGTATGATGTAAAGATTTCTAATAAAACATTTCCAGTTTATTCAAACATTGAAACTTTTTAAAGATCCACGGCGCAGTTTATTGGATACTTGGATAATAGCGAAGGCATCATGTCAAGAAGACTGGTAATTTTGGCAGAATCCAAGCGACATATATGTACAGTAACGCTGCGCTTGAGCGAAGGTAGAAGCACCCAATTACATTAGATGAGCTTAGAGTTAATTGTTTTTCATTAGGAAAATCGGCTGGAGTAGATAATGTTAATGCGAGAGTTATTCAAGATTGCTTCATGTCATTGGCCACATCTTGCGGGACCTTATTAATGAATCATTACAAACTGAACATGTGCCACAAATTTGGAAGGAATCCTTAGTGGTCCCTATTCAAAAAGTTGCTGGAACGATTAAAGCCGAAGAGTTTCGTCCCATCAACATGTTGCACACATTAGAGAAAATTTTAGAACTTGTTGTTAAAGGCCAGCTGTTGGAGTATTTAAATAGTAATAGTTTGTTGATACCAGAACAATCGCGATATCGAGAATGTCATTCTTGTGAAACCGCGTTGAATTTGGTATTAGCGAAGTGGAAAAATAAATTGGAGTGTAAAGATACAATTGTTGCTGTTTTTTTTGATCTTAAACGCGCTTTTGAAACAATTTCAAGGCCCTTATTGTTAAGATCAATCAAGCGCTTCGGAATTACGTGTACTGCAATGGTTTGAAAGCTATTTGTCTGACAGAACTCAACGGACTGTTTTTAATGATTCTGTTTTCAGTCCCGTGGGGAATAACCTTAGAGTGCCCCAGGGAAGTGTATTAGGGCCCCTGTTATTTATTATGTATATTAATGACTTGCGACGTGTTTTACGATTTTGCGACGTTAATCTTTTTGCAGATGATACTGTGTTATTCATTGCAGCGAAGGATTAAGATGATGCCGTTTTACACTTGAATGAAGATTTGCGTTCTCTAAGTAGATGGTTGAAGTATAAGCAGTTGAAATTTAATACAAGTTAAACTAAATTTATGGTAATTTCACGGAATAGAGTAAATGAGAACGTCTGTGTTGTAATTGATGATGAGACCATTGATCGCGTTCGGGATATCGAATATCTTGACGTGATCTTTGATGACACACTTAAGTTCAACTCTCACATTGACAATGTCATCAAGAAAATTGCCAAGAAGTATGGAATTCTATGTCGACTGATAAACGATTTAACTATTGCCAGTCAAATACAGCTACACAAATCATATAAACTTTTGCCCTTCCATTTTATTTCTGGCCAATGTAACTCAAATATCGAGATTACAGCGCTTGCAGAATAAAATAATGCGTTTGATTTTGAGATGTAATAGATTCACTTCCTCAACTTTGATGCTAAACGCTTTAAAATGGTTGTCGGTGAAGCAATGAATTGTATATTTGACTATGGTGTTCATTTTTAAAGTAGTTAACGTTTTGCTGCCTCGATATTTGTGTGATCGAATTGAAAGAGAAAGTGATTTTCATAGATATAATACTAGTTACGCGGTTGAAATAAGAACACCACATTTCTTGACTTGTGCTTCACAAAATTCATTATATTATAAAGGAATAAATGTTTTCAATTCGATGTCTAGACATATCAATTGTTCAGCAACACTTACAGAATTTAAAAGACACTGCATTTCACACGTTAAAACTGTCTTATGAACAGTTATCCAGTGATTTTTTTATGAATTTACAAAATATGTATCTTGACGAAGTTATCTCTAATGGATTATTTTATATGGATAGCTGTCATAACGACTTTTTTTTAATAATTATTATAGCACTGCAAAAACTATTACTGTTCGCCACGATGGTGATGATGGATTTTTATTATTTGATTTAATAGTAGATTAATTAAAAAAAAGTAGTCTACAAAAGTTTGAGCCTCGCGCGTGTATTACAGATAAAGAGGACTGAATTTAACATTTGATAAAAAAAATGCAATTTTGAAGCTTATTTGGAAGATACCTTGAGTTGGTAGTAAGTTTTCTGGCAAATGTTGGGGGTTCGTGAGCATTCCTGACATTGCTGAAAATTATGATATCATCAGATTGCGGGGTTGCTAGTGTAATAAGATGCTTTGTTGATTGTTTATTAACTCTTGATCGCTTGTAATACTTATGAATATTTTAGGTGGACAAAAAGGTGAACTAAGAGGTGGACGCCTGAGCTTTTCCACATTTATATCGCTGTGAAGCAACTGTAAACTCTAGAGGGAATTTATATCTGTAACTGAAACCAGTTCGATTTTGTTTGCTAAGCTGGTTAAAATGTCATATTTAATTATCTTTGTTCGCACACGAAGGAGTCTTCAGCGCTATCTTTATGTCATTTGCATCGTAACTCGCCAATAGTCGAATTAGGTCGACATAGAATCCATCTTCGTTGCTCAATGTGACAGTAGCCGCCTACATTTCCATGACAACGTACTTCCTATGGAGCAACTATAAAAGGCATCTACGAAGCAGCGGAAGATCTCTTTTTCATCATCATCAGTTGTGCTGAAACCATCATCATAAGAAATTTGTAGTAGTGTAGAATTGTAGCAGAAGAAATATATACCAAACTGAAGTTTAATTTTAATAAAGTGCATTTAATTTAGTTCAAACAATGTGTAATTGAGTTCAGTGAAAAGAAGAAAAACTACTTACCTGCATGTGAAGATTAATAGTTCAGTGCATCTGAAAGAAAGTTTATAGACATACTTACCTGAACCTGAAGACGTTCACTGGGAAAAGTGTACACCTGAAACTTACCTGTGCTGCTCTCGCTGATACTATCATCTGGTCCTTCGGGCCGGATGAGCGTCGACACTCCGTTCATCCAGAAACGTGGTTTCTCCAGTGGACCTTTCGCCATATTGTGCCTGTGTTCTGAAGGAAGTTCAATTCATCGGACTGCGAACGAATTTTCCGCCATCTTCTACCTCATCTTCTGCTACAACGCTGCTGCTGCTAATTATATTATTACAAGGCACTGAATTGCCTTATTTAAGGTAATTATATTTCCAAACTCTTAACCTTCCTCTTGTTTGGGCTACCTGGTCTTGTTCTCCAGTTCCAGATCAAAATGTCTTCGGAACGTCGGATCAAGGCGCTCAAGGTGCGCTTACGTAGCCTCCAAACATCATTCACGCTTATCCATACCTTCATGGACGAGTTCGACGTGGACACTGATGTCCACCAAGTTCCAGTGCGACTGGAGCATCTCTCGACACTCTGGGTGGATTTCAATAAAACCCAATCGGAATTGGAATCGCTAGACGAAGCGGGCTTAGAGCAGCAGTTTAAATCACGCAGTGAATTTGAGTCTGCGTATTATAAAGTGAAAGGCTTTCTCCTCGCCAACAATAAAACTCCAGTAACACCGTGCTCACCTAGTTCTCAATCAGCTGGTCATGTCCATTCTTCCGCTTGACACGTGCGACTCCCCGACGTCAAGCTCCCTGTTTTCAACGGAAACATCGACAATTGGCTAAATTTTCATGATCTCTATATCTCGTTAGTCCACTCGTCTGCTGATCTCTCAAACATTCAAAAATTTTATTATTTGCGATCATCCCTAGCTGGAGATGCCCTAAAACTCATTCAAACAATCCAGATCAGTGCAAATAATTATATGGTTGCTTGGAAGCTGCTCGAAGATCATTATCAAAACCCCGTGCGTTTAAAGCAGACTTACGTGGACGCACTGTTCGAGTTTTCCACCATAAAGCGGGAGTCGGCAGCAGAACTCCACTCACTAGTGGAGAAATTTGAATCTAATGTGAAAGTGCTTCAACAACTCGGAGAACAAACTCAGTGCTGGGATCTCTTACTCGTCCGGATGCTCAGCACTCGTCTAGATCCCACAACTCGGAGAGACTGGGAAGAGTACGCGTCTACTCAGAATGTAGTTTCATTCCAAGCTCTCACCACCTTCATCCATCGACGTGTAAATGTGCTACAAACCATACAGGTCAAGACCATCGAGAATCCAACTGTCACCACTGTGAAGAAGCCAACCACTCGTCCACTTGCTAGTCATGGTGCAGCTCAACTCAACGCTCGAAAGTGCCTAATGTGCAGTGATCACCATCCCTTATACAGGTGCTCATCATTTTCGAACCTGAGCGTGGAGGAGAAAGAGAAAGAAGTACGACGTCACCAGCTTTGCCGCAACTGTCTGCGGAAGGGACACGTAGCGAAGGATTGTTCTTCATCTAGTACCTGTCGGAAATGCCGCAGCCGTCATCATACTCAACTATGTGCCAACGATGGTTCGAATTCGGGAAAACCAAAACCAGAGTCATCAACCGTCAATCACTCTCCTTTAACAGATCAGCAGTCTAATCTCACCGTCTCAGCAACAGCCATCGATCCAACCAGCTACGCTTCAGCAGGACAGAGTAGTAAAAGGGTTCTGCTAGCCACAGCAGTAGTCATCTTGGTCGACGATACCGGAGTTCAACACGCTGCACGTGCACTTTTGGATTCGGGCAGCGAGTGTTGCTTCATAACGGAGACCCTTTCCCAATCGCTGACTGTTCGGAGAAAGAAAATCTCTCTACCAATTGCTGGAATAGGTCGGTCATCCACTCAGGCTCGACAAAAATTCATTTCCACCATTCGTTCTCGCACCTCCGATTTCGTCGCTACTGTAGAATTTCTCGTTCTTCCAAGACTCACCGTTGATTTGCCTTCCACATCGATCGACATAACGTCGTGGAAAATTCCTCCGGAACTGCAGCTCGCTGATCCAGCATTCTATCAAGCCAATCCTGTCGACCTCATTTTGGGTGCTGAAGTGTTTTTTGACATATTCAACTCGTCGGACAGAATTCAACTAGGCGAATATCTGCCGGTTCTCGTGAATTCAACTTTCGGCTGGGTAATATCAGGGCGATCTGCGCATTGTCATCCAATCGCGCCTGTCATATCCAACGTAGCCACCATGTCAAACCTACCTGAAATTATGGAAAGATTCTGGTCATTGGAAGAAGATGAATCCACACCTTGCTACTCCGTTGAAGAAGCTGTAAAATAAAAGTAGATACCAATTGATAGCGTTATTATCTTAAAATTGACGAAAATCCATATGGGACTGATATGCGATTATAGATAGTATAGCAAATGCATGTATTCAAATAATACCGATGATTCGATAAATATATTCCGTTATTGGGTATACAAATAAATTATACAAATAAACATTCTAACTCCTTAACAGGATTCTGCGTCCTTCGTCTTATCATCGTCACTCAAAATTTCATCGCAATTTATTCTATTCAAAATTTCCGCCTCAACATAATCCTGCGCCATTGTTTTTATTTGAAGCACTGTTATCGGGGAATAACCTACAAATCTGGTTCAACAGTTGGTCCTTCAAGTGAGTGTCCATCCTGCGTTGGTTGCACAGTTATCGCATTCAGACCAGAGTTATTCCTTCTGTAGAGAAACAAAATGAATCCCAAATGTGCCATCAATTCAACAATGTCAAGTAACGTACATAATCTCACGCATTTGCCGGTTCTCCTTCTTGAGCTGCTTTAACTTCTCCAACAACTTGTTACGCACCGCCCTACACTTTCGATTGTTCCGCTCGATATCACTGATAATTTGCTCCTCCTTACCACACTGACGCTGTTTGTCTGCCAAGGTTGGAAATAGAACATCGAATCCCTCGGCCCACGTCCGGTTGGCGGCTCCAGTCTGCGAATTGGTTCGGAAAAAAATTCATCTTAAAACCCCGACCCCGCATCAAGTTGGTCCTTGAACAAACAACAACCCACCTCTCGGCAGCCATAGCCATAGCTTAACATTTTATCGCACCGTTCCTTGAATGCGTCTTTGCTGTTTTCTAAATTCTCCAGCAACTTGGAGTGGACCTGCTTTTCGACACTCAAAAGCATATTGTTTTCGATCTGAAACTTTTTGACTTCCAGTTCTGTTGAATCAATCTTCTTTGGACCTTCCTTTTGCAAGGCTGCGATTTCTTGATTCAGCAGATTAATTCTTTGCTGCATTTATTCAAACGTTTAGCTTACAAAGTATGAAATTTCAACCAGAAAATATCTACCGTCAACGTTTCAGAATGCTGTCTGTAGGCATCGATTTCTTTCGACTGTTCATCAATCATTGAATCTGCAGGAAACAATCGCATATATTTGGCTGTTCTGGTTACCATTTACCTTACCTTTCTCGGTTTCCTTGTTCAATGATTCGATGAGTTGTTTTTCTTTCTCATCGAGAACACCACCTGCTTGGACTAACTTGGCCGTCAAGTCCTCGATACGTTCATTCAAAATCCAAATCTTGCCGTTACATTTGACAAGATCATTGCACTTTTGAGTCAACTCCCTTCTCAAACCGGCAAATTTATGGTCCACTTCCTGCAGCCCGTCCCGAAAGACCGAATCTCGCGAAGTTGATGTCAATCGAAAGTTTTCCACAGTTTGTTTCAACTACACGAAAATAGCATTTTGTCAATCTCAACCTAAAGATTCATCGCTAACTAATATAACCTTCTCGATGTCATCCTCCCGTTCCTTTATCATACCCGTCTTGACAGCAACTACCGCTTCCAGTTCCGTGATCTGTTTATGCTTCTGTTTGCAATCCGTTTCGAGTCGATCGCACATTTGCTCCAATTGCTTCATCTTCCCGTACACTTCGCTCAGCTCCAGATCCGTCCCTAATAAAACCACCTGCTGCATATCCGCTGCTCCTGAACCTTCCCCTTCACACGGTGGGCATCCTGCCTTTATTTCCGAATCGATCTGATCCGTTTCGGTTGATACATTAGTGAATGCATGTTCCAGGTTTGTCGCTTTCCTTGCAGGTGACACATTTGGTTTCTTCAAAGGTGCCTTTTTTGCGATCCCATCCAGTACGGGCTTTGAATGGGCGTAGCTTCCGTATTGCTTCCCCGCGTTGTTTGAGAATTTCTTGATTGCTTCGGACTCGGTTGCGTTCAGCTTACCGGCAGTCGTTACAGGTCGTTTGCCACGCAGATAAGACGGCAACTGGCCCAGCTGGTGGACACTAGGGTGCTTCATTCTGAAAAAAGTGATGAATTTCTGATGGGCCACCCTCCAGTTCGATTCATAGCCCCAAAATATGAACCTGTGCAAAAATTGGTAAAGATTGATGAAGGTTTAGAGGTCGCGCCAATGATTTGAAATTTGTATGGGAATTACTATGGAAGAATTTAAAAAATCGCTTATATCGCTATAACTTTGCTTCTACTTGTCCAAATGTCGAAAAAATTTAGTATGTTATTGCTATGGCAATAAACAAAAAGCCTACAGTTGCTACGCTCAGTTTTGCAGCGTATCAAGAATTATAAAAATGTGAAAAAATGGCAAAATAGGGTAAATTGACAGATGAATATGTACAAGGCAACAACGCCAATTTCATCGCAACAACAACAGGCTTGTTGATCATTGTCATGACAACCACATTTTTTTTTTTTTCAACGTTTGGACAACTACAACCAAAGTTAGAGCAATGTAAACGAAAATCAATAATTTCCCATACTAATTCACCAAAATCTCCATACAAAATCCAAATCATTGGCGCGACCTCTAAACCTTCATCAATCTTTACCATTTTTTGCACAGGTTCATATTTTGGGGCTATGAATCGAACTGGAGGGTGGCCTATCAAAAATTCATCACTTTTTTCAAAATGAAACACCCTAGTGGACACCCTGCTGTTGTTTGCCGACGACGATGCTCAGCTTGGAGGAGCGCGAGAAACGCGTTGACGAGAAGCTGTTTTCCGGTCGGGACATACCGGTGGAGAAGTTGCTCTGCTTGCTGGTGGCTCGAGATACGTTGCTCGGTTGGCGGGATTTGAGCAATGCCAATGTCGACGACTTTTTAGACACGCCAGAGTCAATTTTGGAGGTAATGTCTTTTTTCTTCTTCGCGACTACGAGGAGCGGGATCGGTTTTATATATCCTGTTTAGTAATGTGTAGATTTTACCTTTTGAGGATGCACTGCGTTCAGTTTTTTTGTCGCTCATTTTTTAATCTTGAAATTGAACGGAAGGAGAGTGATGGGGGTTAAAAAAAAGACAAAAAATTTCAGGTAAACTGGTGAAGGGATCGAAGGAATTTTTGAAGAAAATACAGTGCGAGACAATAACGAAGTGAAGTGGAAGTTGGTAAACTCGATTGCTTAGATAATGTACATTTATGTTGATTTCATATGGTGGATGGTCTCATTTGCCGTCTTTTCAAAAAGAGGCACGGACTGGATTGCGTCAATTATTGAAAAATAACACTATTTAATTTGGCTCACACAAAATACTATCTCTATTGAGTAGTATATGCAATAGATCAGGCAGCCGCAGATGTCCCGTTATCCTCTCGGTGTAGATTACGCGATCACTTAACTGGTAGAAACTATTTTTCAGAGTGCTCGGTGTGTTTTCGTCACCGTTGGAAGCAGATAATGTTTGATGATGAAATTGTTTTTTTTTCCTTGATTTGTTTTCCGTCGATCTTGTTTTCCATGTTGAGCAGCAATGCTACCGACGCTAGGCCAGGAAAGCAGCTCCCACCCACAACTGGACCCTACCTACCTATTTGACCCATCAACTCATGAACCGGGGACCAACGGATTTACTTCCCTTCCGAAGGAAGGCGTGATCAGAGATGTTATGCCTCAGAACATCCCGGCGGCACCGACTGGGATTGAACCCAGGTCTGCTGAGGTGAGAGGTAATAACGCTTACCCCTACACCACCGCTCATGAAATTGGTCGAAATATTAGAACACTTTTTGTTTCGATTTCACCAATGACAAGACAATGGGTCAAGATTTCCCATTTCTTCAAGACACTACTGGATGAGAATGCTGTTGGAATGGCATCAACTTTAACCGGATTTCATTAAGTTCCAGTCTGAAGAGCCCTGCTGTATGCATTTAGGGACAACTGTGATACATTCAAGGAGTAGGTCACACCGCACACCAATCTTGGATCATCTTTTTTATCAGTGTGCCACAAGTGTGCCGTAGGTATGCCGATTGTGCCGGTCATGCCCATCCCGGCAACACGGTATTACTGACACCTTGAATGTTTTGGTTTGAAATCGCAAGGATGAATCGGATTCAGGATTACGCGGGAGGTGGCGGGTGTCCGAAATGTTGATATTTTATGTTCATAGAATGATAAAAGTCCTGTGTTTTAGGGTTTTATAATGCCCTTAAAGGCATACCAGAAACCTAGCCTATCTGTGAAAGCTGTGAAAAGGAATGGTCAATCAGCGGCCGGAAAGAGATGGAACCGTGCATCATTATTCGAATTAAGGGTGCTAATGGGGTCTGAATAACTGCCTCTTTCTCTTGAGCCCACTCTAGAACTTACATTTCATATTTAGATCTATAAGTGAACTGCTGGTCTGAGTTCCTAAGGTATATTCAATTAAAGGATGGAAGGATTGGAATATACAGTCAAACAGCGTGAACAACTTCAATGACAGTTATCCAGCAGTGCTCCCATTTTATTTACAACAATCCAATGCCTACGAGATTGTGCCGAAGGTATGCCGAGGGTGTGTCGATAGATGTGCCCAGGCTGTGCCGAATCTAATTTCGATACAATGTGCTGAGTGACTTACCCCTTGGATACATTAATGTAACATTTTGCATAACGTACTTCGTGATTTATCCTTTATGCGGATGGAAAGACAGTGAAGGTACGTATGTCACTTGCGGGAGGCATTCATTACGTACAACTTGAACTTCCTGATAGTGATCCAGCGTTGGTGCTGGGCAAATTCGAAAACTTAAGCGTGTCACCCTGGTGTACGATGTATATGGACGTGAAAAGAGGATTCTCGTTTCATTTCTTCAAGGGAAACATACTCTACAAGAGTATAAAAAAAAATGTTTATATATGAAAGAAAGAAGGGCCCTTGATAAACTACTACCCCAAGTGGAAGGCTCGGAAGCTGAAAACTGCTTTTTCTGGCTTAATTTAATACATGATTGTTAAATGTATGTACGAGTGTAAAACCGCAATTCTCATGTT